CAGAGCACAGACTGAAGGCCCATCGGACATAAGGAGCGGCCTTTGCTCCTGGATGTGAGCTCGCTCCATCGGACATAAGGAGCGGCCTTTGCTCCTGGATGTGAGCTCGCTCCATCGGACATAAGGAGCGGCCTCCTTGCTCTGGGTGCAGCCATGTGCTGCTGCCAAGCCAAAAGAATGAGACTAACTGGCCACATGCCATCTGCCCCTAATTGCTCAGTGGGAACTCCCAGCTTTGCCCAGTTCAGACGCTCTGTGCTGAAATCAACATGGAGGAAAACCAACGATCCTTTTCTTCAGACACATTTTCTCCTCCTGTGCTGCTCAGACCTCATGTTTTACACAAATCTCTCTTTTTCCTTCCTGAGTGGAGTGGCGCCCTAGTGGCCATAAAACTCCTGAGGTTATGATTTTGGGCCCCACTGCCACAGCCTCCACTCTGGGTCCCTGAGCAAGACCCTTAACCCCACACTGCTCGCCGGGCGCCACACCATGGCAGCCCACTGCTCCCCAAGGGGAGGGGTTAAATGCAGAGGGAATTTCTCCAATGTGAGATCAATAAAGTTCAATTGAAATGAATTATTTTGGAATAAATGGTGTTTAGGTCACGACCTGATGTCCAATAAATGGAAATTCAGTTGAAATGTTGCTTTGCTGCATCTTTGGCTCCAAGCTTTTCTAACTGGAATTGGATTCATTTCCGTAAGATTTTCACACAAAGATCAGATTTTTGGTGATCAGGTCTATTTTCTAATGAGGCTTTAAGGAACAAATTTCCTTTTCCGTTCAGTTTTCCCAAACAGTCAGAGGGAAGACACTGGAACTAATCTAAAACTTTTACCTCGGTTAATAAGCTAAACATGCTTATTGTGTTTGTTTCATTGCAACTGACACAGAAAGGTTGGTTTACAGAAACTAATGGGGGGGGGGGGTCTTCAATTTCCACTCTCCATGCAAGCATGTTATTTTCTCCTGTTTCTTTTCTGCAATAAAGATTTGATGCATTTCTATAGAACGGTGCAACACGATGCGTCCTCCAGTCTGGAAGGTTCTTACAGCCTGATTTTCCTGGACAGACCTTCATCCTTCAAGTGTCTCCTCACCAAAACAACATGAAAATAACCTGCTAGATGAACACGATGCGAACACAGAATCGTTTCCCTCGTGTAGACGTGCCGTGGGCCGAGAATAGAGACAGACTGACTGCTCTGCTAGCCGGACAGCACAATATTAAGACAATAGGAAATGACAGTCTATAAAAACACTCCTCATGTCTCCCAGTCCTCCTCCATGAGCTTCAGCCATCATCTTATCTTCCTACGGCGACGTTACAGTCCCTCTAAATAACCTCATCTCTGAAATATCACAGCCTACCAACTATTGTCACTTTTTGCAGACATTGCAGAACCTTTATATTGTGAGAAGCTACTTCATCTGATAAGCAGGTAACAAAATTAACTTGGAATCATTTTGCAACAAGCTGTTCATCCTCAACAGTCTAACAGCAGGAATCCGACTCCGTATTTATTAGAATTTCTAAACCTTTAGAACAAATAATAAACCATACGCTCAGGGATCAGGGGAACTTTGAACATGTCTGAGTAGAA